TATTATACCTGGATACAGAACTGATCACTCTTGTATAGTCTTAGATGTTAATTTCAGGAATGTTGAATGTGGCAGAGGATACTTGAAATATAATACTTCCCTCTTAGAAACTTGCATACAACAAGTCAAACATTGCATTTAAGGAACTGTAGATGAATATATTGTTGAAGGAGACAAAAATAATTTAGAAAATATTTTTTTGGGTGTAAATGACCAATTTTTTTGTTTTAAGTTTTGAAAGCTCATTTCGTTCACTCAAAATATCTTATTCAATCTCAAAAGCAAAAGACAAAGAAAAATGGAGAAAGAATTACAGTCAGAAATAGAAGAACCTGAACCCAAGTGACAACTTAAGTATTAAATTTAGTAATAAAAACAAGAACGTGAAACAATTAGAAAAAATATAGCGAAAGGTCTTCTTTTACAGTCAAAAGCAAGTTGGTATGAAAATGGGGAAAGGGCAAATAAGTATTTTTGTGATTTGGAGAAAAGACATTTCGTTAAAAAAAGTATGAATGAATTAATATCAGAAAAGGGGGATATGCTTGATAGCCAAGGAGAGATAATTGAAAAAGAGGTTATTTTTTTAGAACCTATATGAATCTGAACAAAATGCCTTTACACATTTTAAACACTTAACAATGCTGATAAAAATAGTGGAAAGGGGACATTAAACGTTATGAATTAACACAAGTTTTAAAATGTATGGCTAAAAGGAAGAGTCCTGGTCTAACGGTTTCAGTGTGGAATTTTTTTTATTTATTTTTTAAAAGACGTAGGATTTTTTATGCAAATCAATTAGTTATGCTTACAATACAGGTTAATTGTCTGATTTTCAAAAGCAAGGTATTGTTACATGCATTCAAAAGGAAGATAAGGATAGGCGATACTTAAAAAACTAGCGGCCGATTTCTCTATTAAATGTAGACTACAAAATAGCATCAGTAACAATAGCAAATAGAATTAAATATGTTCTTCCAAAAGTTATAAGTAAAACACAAACAGGTATTATTAAGGGTAGGTTTATAGGGGATAACACTAGGCTTTTGTATGTTATAATGAACTTATAAGAAGAAAATAATCAGTCTGGACTCCTATTCATCTTGGATTTTGAAAAGGCATTTGATTCGATTGAGTGGAGTTTTATAAACAAGGCTTTAAAATCTTTCAACTTAAGAGAGTCACTAAGTTTTTTTAATAGAAATTCCAAAAGCTGCATAATTAAGAAAGGTCACTTGTCATCTAACTTTGAATTAGGTCGAGGTTGTCATCAAGGTAACCCTTTTTTACCATATTTTTTTAATAGGGGTTGGACTCTTAGCTCTTGCGATGAAATCGAATAATAATATTAAAGGGATAGTTTTAGCCGGTAATGTATTCCTTCTGGGCCAATATGCTGATGTACCTATATTCTGCTTGATTAAGTCAGTCGTTATATACTGCAGTCCGAACATAAAAAGATTTTGCCAGGGTATCTGGATTGAAGTTAAATTTACAAAAATTAAGCCTGTACTGGATAGGAAATAAAAAGTTCTCTAATGATAGAATATGTACAGATTTGAAATTAAACTAGCCAACTTTAAACTTTAAACTGCTTGGTATTGTGTTTTCATTTAATCTTGATGATACGGGACGCATAAACTATGAGATTAAACTGCAACAAGGCAATGAACTTCTACGTTACCTGAGCTGTCGAGATCTTACTTAAATTGGGCGTATTACAATTTCAATCATTTGGAAACTGTTCCTTCTTCAAACTTTATTCAGTACTATTCCGTAGTAAACTTAATTGATAACTGGAAGCCATTTAACGGAAACAAAATAGAAAATAGTGAAATTGTAATACCAACTAGAAAGGGGGATATTGTCTCGCTCATGTTAAGCTACAAGGATTTAAAGTTTATCTATAAAAAGTTTGTTTCAAATGTCATAATAATGCCTAAACATGGCCAAGTAGAATGGAAATCCGTTTTTGAAATGGATGAGGATTTTAACTGGCAAGATATTTATATGAATGCATTTAACTGTACAAGGGAAACAAAATTACAAACTTTCCAATACAAAATCAATCATAGGATTCTACCAACTAATAAAGTGCTAGTAAAATGAAATTAATAATAAATCAATTATGTACATTCTGTAACAGAGAAACAGAAACATTGGAACACAGTTTTACTCAATGCTATTATGTACATAGATTATTGGATGATTTTAATGTTTGGTCTACTGAGCATGATGATAGACAGCCGTATATTGATTTTCAAGATATAGATATCCTTTTTGGAAATTCAAAGATTGGACTATTATTAAACCATTTTCTGATACTAATTAAACATCTTATATACTGAAGCCGCATTAAAGAAATGTGTAAGATTATTTTAACGCAAACAATGAAAGTAGAGAAGTTCTTTTTGCGATGAAAAATAAATCTCTATTAATCTCCCAAAATGAATAGGGCCCATTCAAACATTTTTTAATAATAATGACTTTAATTAATTATTATTCTTAATATTACTTAGACTTCTTGGTTTTCTTTAAAAAGAAGTTCTCTCCCCTTATATGTTTGAAATGTTTGATACCCTCGTATGTTCACTAGTGGTGATTCCGGTACCTAGCTAGCCAATCAGGGGGTTCCCACTTTCCTGTCTCATCTGTATCATGCCTCAGTGCATTTACCAAGTATTATATAGTATCTTTGTATATATTATTAATTAGAAAACTTCAAACTGTATGAATGAATAGATTAAATGAGCGAATGAAAGGAAACGATGAAAGACTTAATGGAAATAATAAATGTATGATTGAATGAAAACAAAGTATAAATTAAAACAAGGATGTAATGAATAAGTTATCAATTGAATAAATAGGGCTAAACTGGGTCGAATTGTTAAAAGTTCACAAATCTTCTTCCTCAGTCTAAGATGTACTACAATCAAATACTCTTCATGGATAGAATGGTCCGTATGTGCTTTAACTAAATTTTAAATTTCATTACCCCTGGGACATCTGCTTTCCCTTTAGGAGGGGTAGAAATTACAATATTTTATCTAGAGAAAAATTTGGTCTTTTCTCAGCAAAACAAATATTAAAACTTGGTGGGAATAGTTATAGTGAGATGGCAATTAAATGGTAAGAGAAAATGATGCACTGCCTCGCCCGATGGTGCTAGATGGGTTGGGCCCAAATGGATGAAAGTGTTTAAAATTAAGAAAATCTTCTTCCTTAGACTAAAATGAATCAGGATAAAAAAAGTCTTTGTAGATAAAGGTACATTGGAGCTATAGCCAATAAAAGACAATTTCATTTTTTTGGGACAACTGCTTCCCTTTGAGAAAAGGTAAAGATTTTCACACCTTTGAATGTAATTTGATTATTATCAGTAGGAAGTAATTCGAACTTTGTTCGAATAATTGTGATGAGATACTTATAATATTGATTAAAACATTAATATCCTGCCTTACTTCTGGGACCAGACAGGCTGGGCCAAAAAGGGGAAAGGGTGTAAGATGGGGTCCACTCCAATGCTAAAAGTCCCATATGGTCCGCCCACACAGCGATTTTTTAAATTTAAAACACTTTAGCCAGACTGCTTTCTGTATTGAAAATGATGAAGTCGTCTCCCTTTGTACGTATTTGGCCAAATGGGAGCTCCTTGAATTACTCCTGCTCAGCAAATGAATTTATAACTACTCAAGAGCCTGAAAAATTACTATTTTAATCTAAAGCAAATTTGTTTCCTTATAATGTTGCTGATATGGTGTAGTTGATCATTCGATAGCAAATATGTACTTATTTACTAGAATCTGTGATGCCAGTCCTTGGTGCTTTTTCAAAACTGGAGTAAAAACAGATGAGCTTAAAATCACTTGACACAATGTCTCATTCCTCATGGTATGCTTTATAGTGTAAGTCGACCAAATATTAATATTTATAAATTGTGCTACATATATATTCATTGTGTGGGAAAATATTTTTAAATTCTGAAACCGGTGAAGTTGTCGTTTCCGAATTAAGTGACCAATATTTCTGACTTTCTGCTTAAAGAGTAAAATAGCATTTGTAAATTTAATCGTAGCCTGTGCATATCAAACAACTTATTGAAAGTGAAATTATCAAGTTTTTATAGGAAGATGACGAATTCTAGCACTTGCATTTAGTTTTTTGATTTAACGAAATACTCGAATATTACTTTGAAGACAGTGACCTCAACCCCTGCAGTGTCTATTATCATATGTAGCATATTCGACATTTAATTATTTCATGAATATTTATTTGCTATTTCTGTTCATTCCATTATAATTCATTATTTAAGACAAGAAGCCGATCCAGTTGATGGCTTTCAAATAAATCTTTATTACAACAAAGCAATTTCATTTTGATGCAAAGAAGTAAATTATGCAACAAAGTTTAAAAATAGGCGACAGACACTAGAAGCCGCAAATTGACACCCATCATATTTAACTGGTTACCATGTGTGAATACACAAATACAAACTTCATATTATTACAGGAAAATTGTCAAAGATAAAACAAAAAAGTGATTTGGACATTGAATTTAAGGTTTTTAATGTTTTTTGATGGAAATTACCACCTCTCCCCGGCACACAGGTCAAAATAATAAATAATATTTAACGCTTTGCTGTCAAATATATTTACTTTTTAAGGTTTTGTGTTTTTGAAACGTTATTGATTTTACTATTTTATCATTATAGTTGGGCAGCACATGTGTCGTCGGTGAGACCAATCTCTTAGAGAGGTTTTCTACATTCCCTGAATATATACTGTGGAAGACGCGCTATAACCTTGCTGCAGCTTTCTTCGAATACTATTACTATCCAGGAGACTGCATCAGGTGCACTTTATGCGCAGCCATGCATCTACTTCCGGGTTCGTATGGTGTTATTTTTATTCACTTCATGGTGTTTATTATGTAGTAACTGAAACAAATCGCGTTATTATCTCAGATGTGCCAAGTGCATATTCGTACGCCATCTATCTCTACATCAATTTGGACTTTGAACTTGATAAGTGTTAATCCATAAACATTAACATTTATCAATGCTAACATAATGAGAAATCCTTGAAAAAATACAAGGAGAACACGACTAGGTATTCTAGAAAGGTAAACATCTCCCGCTTCATCGATGACACCCGCCATATAAATCTAAGTCGAATTCAAGTAATGTCACGTCCTAAAATCGATAACTCGGGTGGTTTCAACAAAACCTGAAGTATATTTCTCCGCGCGATCCTGATTGCGACCATAAAACTGGTCCATAGCCTCCATCAACCTACGTTTGGTTTGGTTTGGCTTACTTTTTCTTAACGCCCTATTAACAGCTAAGGTCATTTAAGGACGTGCCTCCATGTGTTTATGCGTGATTGCATGTGTGTGGGCGTGCATGTGTGTTGTATGTGTGCTGGAGACAGGGTATGTTGGAGTGCTTACCTCCTTGTGATAGCGCGGATCTGATGCCGACTTTATAGTGCTATCTCACTAAAATACCATGCTGAGGGAACCCAGCACAGCATTATACTGACAACGGGTGAACCAGTTGTTGCCATTCCCCTTAATGCTGAACGCTAAGCAAAGAATAACAACTACCATTTTAAGGACTTTGGTATGTCCCGGCCACGGGACAAAACCCGTTGCCTTCCTCACCTGGGCGAACGCTCAACATTAAGACCAGAAGTGAGGTGTTGCCAAGCAAGGCGCTAGGAAATAAAAAGTAATTAGAAGTAAAAAGAAAAATTGGGTCCCAAATATTGCAATGGGTGTAACAGATTAATTTTGGTCGCTTTTGTGTCCCCCAAATAGAAGACACCAAAGCAAATCCCCAATTCTGCAGGGGGTTCGACATTAGTCGCCTCCTAATACATACATGCATTGGGTTACAGCAGGCGTATTTTTTCCCGATTCGCTTTCTGCAGGGATGTATCAACCTGCGTCTTTGAAAACTAAGTGGTAATATTTGGAGCAAACCAACTGTTAAAGGTCACAAGGATCAAATATGTTAAAATCTTTAAACGACTTCTTCTGAATAATCAATAGGCCCAGAATGTTGATATGCAAGTAGCATGCTAGAGTAAAGGGCTACCGAGTTTGTTAAAATGAATGACCTAGACCCATGTTCAAGGTCACATAGGTCAAATATATTTAAACCTTTAAACAATTTCTTCTGAATAATCAAAATTCCAAGGATGATAATATTTAGCCCGTAACATGCCGAGATGAATGGCTACCACGGTTGTTGAAATTAATGACCATGAATTTTATTCTAGGTCATAGGGATCAAATATGTTTAAAATTTTTAAACGACTTCTTATGAATTACCAAAAGGCTCAAGATGATGATAACTTGCCAGTAGTATGCTAGGATTTAGGGTAACTAAGTTTGTTCGAATAAATGACCTTGAATTAAAAAAGGGTGATGATATATGGCCGGTAGTATGCTAGGATGAAGGGCTATCAGTTTTGTTTAAATAAATGGAGTCAAATATGTTTAAAATCTTTAAATGACTTCTGCTGAATAACCAGGATGCCCAGAATGTTGATATGTGGGCAGTTGCACACTTGGATGAAAGGCTATCAAGTGAATTGAATGACCTTGACCCACTTTCAAGATCACATTTGGTCAGATATGTATAAACCTTGAAATGGCCTAATCACATTAAAGAAAGAGTCTAGGGTGGTGATATTTTGCAAATTGCATGCTGGGATTAAGGGCTATAAATTGTGTTCAACGTTATGACCTTGTTTGACTTTCAAATTCACAAGTGTCAAATGATTTAGAATATTTTAACAGGTTCTTTTAAATGACTTATAGTCGAAAATACTTATATTTGCCACTGTAGCCTTAATTTAGATCACTTTTAAGATTACAAGTGTGAGATTAATACCAGGTGAGCGATGCTGGCCCATTTGGCCTCTTGTTTTCTATGTTCCGCATATTGAATTTCGGGTCTGATCAGAAATCCCTGTAAGTTAGTGCTATTCTCGAACGGATAGTGCCGTAAGAATATTTTGTAAGTTATACATGTAGGCTCCTCATGATCACTAGCTACGAATATCGACTGATCCGGGAACCTAAAAGGCCGAAAGGTAGCCATCTTGGAGTTTTGAGTGTGAAAGATTGAAAGCGCTATTTCTCAAAAAATACTGAACACCTTACATTGAAAGAACAATGTCATACACAGTTGTATAAAGTTTTAATCAAAAGTTACCACACGGTGCATTTACTGTTTATATGACTCAATCAAATAGATGAGAGAGAAAAACAGAAAAGAGCAGAAATTCTAGACACCAAAGATGTTATATAGAAGTACCCTCGACTCATTACAAAACTGCCATTTTGTTTCAAATGAAGTTTGGATGTAACAATTATCGGCACGAAAACTCCCTACGTGGTCATATTTAAACAATGACAACTAATGCTTTGACTACCTAGATAACAATTAAATCGAGGAATGTGTTTCGAATTTCTCAGGAACTGTCCCTATAGTCAATTGGCAAGTCGACTTTAAAACTGATCGAAAATAGTTAAAGCTTTTTCGCGCTATCTCTGATAACGTTCTTGTGAGATTAATTTTTAAAATTTCAGATGTAGGTAACCAATGGTCTCCGCTCATGCATATTAATTTTCGGGACTGATCGGGAAAGCAGGATGACCACAAGACAGTCATTTTAAAGTTGTCAGTTCATTTTTGTATTCACTATTTCCTAAAAAACAACTGGACATATTTACATTTCCGAGATCTTAATTGTTATGTTTCATTTTAAGGCGGGTCAGAAAAAAAACCCAAAAAATGTCGCTACGCAACCATCTTAGATTTCGACAGATCTTTCTAAAAAATATATATATAGTTTTCCCCCGTTACACATTGTGCTAGTAAATAGGCAAAACGACCACCTTACATTGAAAGAACAATGTCATACACAGTTGTATGAAGTTTTAATCAAAAGTTACCACACGGTGCATTTACTGTTTATATGACTTAATCCAATAGATGAGAGAGAAAAACAAAAAAGGGCAGAAATTCTAGACATCAAAGATGCTATATAGAAATACCCTCGACTCATTACAAAACTGCCATTTTGTTTCAAATGAAGTTTGGATGTAACAATTATCGGAGACACGAAAACTCCCTACGTGGTCATATTTAAACAATGCTTTGACTACCTAGATAACAATTAAATCAGTTTCAAGGCAG